GATCCGCCTGGGCTGACTTTTGTGTTCCCCTTGTTCCGTGTTCCCGGTGCTGACAGTTTTATTTTCATCCACCATCAAAGCTAGTTGGATCGCCTGGTCTAAGTCCATTGGTTGAAGCAACCTCACGGAAGTTCGTAGCTCCGGTTTCAACCCTTTTAGGAATGTACCCGACATAATCTTCTCAGGAATACCCCTTAGCTGTGCCGATACTGTTTCAAATTTCCCTATATACTCGCGTGCCGACCCTTCCTATTTAATTGCCAAAAATTGTTCGTATAGGTCCCCTTCCTGAGATGACTGGAACCGAGCCAACAACCGGTTTTTTAATCTTTCCCAGTGACGAAAAGGGTGCCTATCATCACTCCATCGGTACCATGCAAGGGCCTGTCCCTCCAACCCTAACACCGCCGCCCTCAACTTCTCCCCCGTAGTAACAAATCCCTGAACGTCGAAAATCTTTCCATGAGGTACACCCACCCATATGCATCAGTTCCATCGAACAACGGCATTTTCAGCTGACGAAGACGGTAGTCCGTCCCGGGCACCCACCCCCGTTCCCCCGAAGGTCCTGAGCCTCTTCCATATCTGCTGCCAAACGGCCTTTTAGTCTCAGAAAAAGCAAACGTACCTGATTCCGAAAAAGGAATTTCCTGAGTGCCGATGGACCTGTTCGGTTCCCTGGCCGTCTGCTGGTTGCATGCCACAGCGGCAGGGGTGCCCCATTCTCATCAAAAATCGGATTCGATTGCTGCATTATGGGTCGTGTGGTGCAATCGGTGAAGATTGGCGATGGCATGGCTGCTGTCGGCGGTGGTGGCGGCTTCAACGCCTGGAACTGTTGCAACATGACCTTCATCATCTCCGCATGTCGCTTCTCCGTTTCGGTGCGCAACGATTCCACGGTGGTCTCCAAGTTTTCGAACCGCTCCGTCGTCTCAGTATGGAACTGTTCGACGGCAGCCTTCTGTTGGTTCAATTCAGCTTCAAGATCCTGAATCTTGGTCATGGTAGCGTGGATAAAGTCACAGGCGCAAGATCGATGCTCTGATACCAATTTGATATGAATCAATTGGCAAAAATTAAGATTAGCGGCCAAAAGTACCACTAATCGGATGCTTATTAGAATAAACCCTGGAATTCGAGACCCAGTAATCTCCAATGTCTACGATAAGAATAAAAAATACTAGAATGAATCAAAACAATGGGGTGGCCGGTCCCTTAAATAAGCCGTACCCTAATCCTCAAAAATAAGAAACATACTTATCCTAAGTAACTAATTAATAACTTCCCTAATCAATTAATTAAGAATAAGGAAATTGCGAACATCCCCCTCTACTTGTTTCTTGCCTCTCTTTTGTGACGCTGATACATCCGACCCCAGTGTGGGTCGGGCTGAGACGTATCACGACTCTTACCCGGGTAAGCACTTACCGGGTAAATTGTCGCATACTATACCATTTTGATGTACAACAATCTTACCCTGTAAAATAAATTACAATGTTGACTCCTAAAGGTAAGCGCTTACTGGGTAAGCATTTAGGTAAACGGCCCCTAAGTGATTGTGTTGAATTTTATTGGTAAGACTAAGCGCTTACCGGGTAAGTGTTTGGTAAACGGCCCCCAAGACTAGTAGATACGAGGCAACAGGAAGAGAAAAAGTAGTAAGAAGGTACAATGAAACAAAGAAAAGGAACAGAAAAACACACACCACCTTATCTGCTACCATAATCCTGCGTCTCCAAGAACTCTTATCAGTAAATGTAAACAGAACACGTCTTCTACGAAATGCTGCCTTGTGTCATTGGCAACAGTGCTGTTTTCTATTTATATTTATGCTTTTAGAGAAATGTATACCAGATACAAAGCTGGCGTTTGGCAACTACTCACGTGTTCTGAAACGCCAATTACTGTTTTCATGGTCTAATTTTTTTTATGGAAGAAATAAATATTCAACAACTATTTGTTTGCTGCTAATAATGATCCATGAACAGATTGTCAAGGGGTCGATTGAGAGTTTAATCGGTGCTTCTCCAGGGCGTGCCATGAGTTCGATTACTAAGAAATCTGATCTTAAATCACCTATTGTAAGGCTACTTAACTCAAAACACACCGATAAGCTCGTTCAAATACGCATATATGCCCATGAAGCTGAATTTCATATCGTGTTCATAATGTATCTTTCAGGTTACTTGTTACCCAAGCAAATCTATTGGATTATACACGAAGAACAAGAGATCCATCATATTTAGGCCTGATTTTGTATATGAGAACACAAATGAATATACGGGTGGTGGTACATATAACAGGTACGTTAACCGAGAGTAAAAATGAGATGAGCTCCTCCGGTGGGTCCATTAGTCAGCTCACCAAAAAGCTCGGTGAGCCTAAGCCAAGCTGAGGCTCAGGCATAGCAGCTCAATGAGCCAAGCCCACCGAGTACTAAGTCATAGTGTTAATATACTCCTTCGTTCCAAAAATAAATGTCCATGATGAAAAAAACACATAGTTTTGAAAATGTATAATTATTACAGTTTTTAATTAACTAAATGACAATTATACCCGTAACAATGGAGAGAGTAATTAATTTCTCCGTCTCATAATCAAGGGTAGAATTGTAAAGTATGCATTACTTTTGAAAGTGGACTTTTTATTTTAAGACAAACTAAAAATGAAAAAGTGGACACTTATTTTGGACGGAGGTGATAATATTTGTTTACCCCACTAGCTTTCGTCTCATGGGACCTAATTGCATCTTTTAGGGATGGTTTATTTGTAATCAGCTGAAGGGTTTAGTCGTAATTTGATTTGAGCCATATGAACCGAGACTTCGAGCCAGTGCTCAAGCTTCTATAAATACATATGGAAACCGAGCCCATGCTTGAGCTTATATGAATATGAACAAATCAATACAAACTGAACCCATATGGGCCAAGCCAAGCTTGAACCTTAACACAATCTGAATGAATCTAAGCCTAAATATATTTTCACAAATTTAGGCTCTGCTCAGCTCGACTCAGCTTCACCCCTAATGTTATTAATTAGGCATGATTAGAATCGAAACTCTTTGCAGCGTGTTAATGGATTACAAGAAGGAAGTTGTTTTGGATTATTCAAGAGACCCGATGGTAGTTGATCCGCATTTTCAAGCGTTGATTCACTCAAAAATTGCGAAAGCGGCAAAGATTATAGAAGATGCGTACGGATGTGCCCAAGACATTGAAGGAGTGGTGCAAGATGGAGAACTCTATGTGCTTCAATGTAAGTCTTTAAAACTATAAAATGTAACGTTAATCCTTACAAAAATATTATTACTTATTGATTTTAGTATACAGTACAGGATTCCTTCTTCGTTATTATTGATGGGTATTTTGGATATTTAAATAAGAGTAAATGATATTTTTGATCCCTGATGTTTGTCACTATCGACGGAATTGGTCCCTGCATTTTCTATTAGAGATTTGTCCCTCATGATTTGCATTTTTTTTCTTGGATTTTGGTTACTCCTAGTGATGAGCATGTTATCTTGTTATATGAGGGTTTAATTTCTTGTTATTTGAAAATGAAGTATTTTATATATATACTATATTATAAAGCATTTGACAAAAACTCTTAAAAATTACATTTTATGCATAAAGTACTGTATATTGATGCATATTACTTAAAATTTAAGATTACAAGTAAATTAAGCACAAGTACAACTTATTAAAGCTCCATATTTGAATTTGTGTAACTAACTGCGGATAAACATAATCAAATAGAAGATAAATATCTCATTTTAAAATATAGAAAAATCTAAAATATAATTAGGATAATTGTCGAGTTCTAACAAAATAATTAATTATTATCTTTGTAGGAAAATTATATTATTAAACCAAATATAAATTACTTTGTTTTTAAACCTAAATTAAATTATTATAAAAAAAATTGAATTAAAAATTACATAAAAAATGAGGAATTTTAAATAGTTAATTTGATACTAATATCGATATATTTTTGTCAATTTTTTATGGTATCTTCAAATTTATACTTTATTTAAAAATAATAACATCATCGCTTTTTCAAAATCACATAAGACCATATTATAACATCGACTGGGATAAAAAAAAATATATTAAATTCAAGATGTATCTCGGTGCATTGCGCGAGTACCCTTGGATTATATAAGTTTGGAACAGGATTTTCTTATTCTTTTAATCCTGACACAACTCTCGTCAATTCTTTTAGCTCACAACAACTACCCCTCTCTTTTTCATTTTTAGTCTCAGCACATAAACCCTTTTGTATTTAAGCTCACTCAGATATGGTTGTCCTCTTGGGTATGTCTGTCGGTTTTGACATTCCATAGAGATATTTCTGATAAGCATTCAGTCCCTCCTAAAGTTTAGCGTTATGCACATTTGATCACAATGGTTGATCAAAATATTATTTCTTTAAAGCACAATGATCAGATAAAAAATTGATCAAGAAATTTGGCTTTAAACACAATTAATGAAAGAATGATACGACAACGATTCGATTATTCGGTATATGAGAGAAATGAATGAAGATCTGTAAGAACAAGTTTACAGATTCTGATATTAAAAAAAATGAATGTATATGTATCAATGTAAAAAAAATYAGAAAACAGAGTTTGAATACAAACGAGTGTACCAACACACACACAAATGCGGTCAAGCACCCTTAGTCAGTGAAACCCAAATCGATATCGTTAAAAAGGAACCAACTCATCTCTTAACGCTTTTTCTTCATCTTTCATTCGGTTTATCTGGTCCTCCTCTTTGTTGGAGTTGTCGGTGGTTCACGCCTTCACCGGAGTTGGGTGAGGGGGCATGGAGATGCTGAATGTGTGTGTATATATACAAATATTATAACTTCATCCTTAATATTTAAAGGGGCATGAGAAAAAAAAAGCAGTGAATTGACCCAAAAGCCTTTTCATTTAAATGTACTTAACAGAAAAAGATAACTGACGTTAATGGGAGGGACAAAATCAACTAAAAATTGCATGTGGGAGGCAATTTTGTAATGAAAAAATTGTAGGAAGCAATTCCGTTGAATTTACATACGTTAGGGACAAAAATTGTGTTTTACTCAAATCAAATTTTAGAGTAAATTGCGGGTTTGGTTCTGTGCTTTTTCTATATATTGGTTCTGGTTCCTACATATTTTCATCATAAATTTGTCACTGTGGTATACATATTCACTCGGTTTTGGTCCCTCTCGCTAATATATAAGGAGCATTTTGATTCTTTTTCATGTTTCTCTCATTCTTTTAAATAAAACAATGTATTAGTGGAATATATCCACACTCCCTTGTGATGTAATATTATTCGCGGTTTTTACCCATACTTTGGGGGGGTTTCGCAACACCAATCACAACGTATCATTTACTTTATCGTACTTATATTCTATTGTTCAACACTCTTAACTTTTAGAGTAAATTACATGTTTCGTTCTTGTGGTACTAGTTTATATATTATAACACTAGGATTGATCACGTGTATTACACGGGGTAATTTGAAAAAATTAAATCACGTCAAGAACTTATCTTACACATCGAAAGTACGATGCTACTTCAGACTTGTACTTTTGAAATAACTCTGAAAAATGACTCTTCGGACTTGAATTTAGAAATGAAACTATATTAATAATTAGTTAAAATGAAGTTAACCCTAGAATAAAATTAAATTTAGAAATGAAACTATATCAGTAAATTGAATTTAAACTTAGAAGTAAATTTAGAATGAGTCTTCCAACTTGTACTTTGAAGTAAAACTTTTTAAACTTCAGAGATCTGTATAGGCAAGGCAAGGTTTGGCATGCACTATGCAAAGGCTCTACATGGTGCTTCGTCTAGAAAAGAAGACTTCAGAGTTCGGGTGAGCTAACTCTGAAAAATGACTCTTCAGACTTATACTCTGGAAATAACTCTGAAATAAAACTCTGGAGAATGATTCTTCAGACTTGTACTCTTGGAATAACTCTGAAGTATATAAAATCAATCCCACTAAATCAGAGTTTAGACTTCTAAGTCTAAAAAAAGACTTCAGAGTTCGTGTGAGCTAAGTCTGAAAAAGAAGACTTCAGAATTCGGGTGAGCTAACTTTGAATAATGGCTCTTCAGACTCCGAAGACTTCAGAGTTCAGACTTCTAAGTCTGAAAAAGAAGACTTCAGAGTTCAAACTTCTAAGTCTGAAAAAGAGGACTTTAGAGTTCAGACTCTAGAGTTCTGGTGAGTTAAGTCTGAAAAAGCAGATTTCAGAGTTTGTGTGAGCTAACTCTTTAAAATGATTCTTCATACTTGTATTTTTGAAATAACTGTGAAGTATAACTCTGAAGAATAAATCTAAAGAATGACTCTTCAGACTTGAATTTATTAATGAAACTATATCAATATTTAGTTAAAATGAAGTTAACCCTAGAATAAAATTGAATTTAGAAATGAAACTATATCAGTAAATTGAATTTAAACTTAGAATAGCGCATGCGTCAAATCTGAAGACCTTGAGTTCAGAGTTATTTAAATACCCAATATCTTTGAAGAAGACCCCATGGTAAAGTTTGCATCATACAGAGCAAAACCAACCAGAGCTTCTCTAGTTTTTAAGAACCAGAGCTCCTCTAGTTCTTAAGAACCAGAGCCCATGTGGACTCACCAACCAAAAGCAAGGCCAACCAAAGGTCCTCTGGTCAACCAAAGCCTCTGGTTCGTCTATCCAGAGCCTCTGGGTCAAAAAAATGTTAAATACTTAAAGAATTTGAGTTCCAATTACAACCAAAGACCCTATAGTTAAACATGAAGATCAACCAGAGCCCCTTTGGTTTCATTATGATGGATTGAAATATTTTTCCAAGGTTCAAATAAACAACCAGAAGCCAGATGCAACCGCCACAACAACTAACTGAAGTTGGTGAGCAAAACAATAGACATAATATACTGAGCTATTTTATCTCATGATTTAAACTTTCAAACCATTGAATTGGCCACACATATTGCTTGCTCCATCATAACCTTGGCCTCTAACCTTTTTAAAACTCAAATCATGTTCAACAAATAAGAATTCAATCGCAAATTTAAGAGATAAAACATTTATGTCCTTTACATGTACAAGACCAATAAATCTTTCCTTAACAATGTCATATGTAACATATCGCAAAACCACAACCATTTGTTCCTTTTTAGATATGTTACTCGACTCATCAACTAATAACGAAAACACATCATCACTAATCTCTTGGAAAATATGTTTGAGTACCTCTTGCAAAGCAGTGAACGATATCTTTTTGAATACTTGGCGCCACCATTAGATTATTCCCAGGAGCATTTTCTAATATAGCCTTACCGACAGCCTTATTTTGATCCCGAATTAATTTTATTAATTCCAAGAAATTTCCCCGAAGAAGATACGTTTCTGACTCATCATGACCACGGAAAGGTAATGCACCATTCAACAAAAATCTAGCAGCATCAACAGAAGCATTCAACCGAATACGATATTCATTCTTTTGAATATCACTTTGTTTATGTAAGGCGACGACAATTGATTAACCATGTCTCATTAGGTCCTCACATTTCTTAATAGCTCTATTGTGGAAATTATTAATGTGGCTCACATGAGTAGTCAATCTCTCAGTTTTATTCCAATTACTAAAGCCTTCTGTTAGAAAAATATCACTCCCATCTTGTCAACACATTGATCTATAAATAAATAACTACATAAGCAAAAATTTAAACTATACTCCAACAAATTACCATATTGATCAAACCAAGTCGGGTTAAAACGTCTTGCCTTCTTCCAAATTATTCTTCTTGGAAAGTCGTGACCACATGATTGACGGTCCTTTAATCAAGTCGTTTCTTCTGATTTCATCTCTTTGATTAGGGTGGTATTGTAAAATTCTTTTTCTTTTAGCTAGATCTGATGGAAGATTATTCAAATCAACTTCCCTAGGCATCGAAGGAAGATCATTGCGCAAGTTGTTTCCACTTAAAGGTCTCCACTATTATCGCAGTCAGGCGTTGATGCCTTTTTTTTCGGCAAATCTTTCCATTTTCTAGCAAAAACAAGGGGAAAAATCTAAACCATAATGCATAAAGGAGTAATTGGGGTGTGGGGTTCAACAGTCAACAAATACATCGTAGATAGACAAATTAAATAGAAACAACATCTATAATATTAATATGTGTGTCTACCTATTGTTTGCCAAAACAGGGGTACTGCATAAAGCAATCCCCATTTTTTTTAACCTATCCACTTTCTGCAATTTTTGTCTACTTTCTAAGAAATACTCCCATTTTGTCTACACACTAGCAAAAGCTTAAAAAGGCTAAAGCAAAAGCCCCATTTTTGTCTACTATCTAGCAAAAGCCTCAAGTTTCTGAATTGAACAGAAATTGAATAGAAATGAAGTAGAAATTGAACATAAATGAAAAAATCAAAATGAACCAACCTTGTTACTCGAAGAAATGAAGTAGTCTTGAACCTACTACAGAATTGAACCAACCTTGTTGCTCGAAGAAATGAAGGT